CTAATATATATTAGGCTATATAAATCTAGTTACTGTAATTTACTTTGGAATAAAGTATTATTGAAAGTTAAGTAAATTATTAATCATTGTTCAAGACGGTCAAAAGAAACCTGTCGTCATTTTATCAATATCAAATTCATTTTATTTTTATAACAACATTGATTTTATAGTGAAAGAAAAGAACCAGTACGAGTTTTAGCAGCAAAGACTTTACTTATAATTTTGAGTGAAGAATCAGCGTCTGACAAATGGGGAGCTCTGGCCAACTGTTGTATGGACCATAATGGTTGTGTGTCACCCAAGAGACTAGCGGCCCTGTTGGCACATGTGACCGCATTGTCTGCATACCTTGGAGTGATGTGTGACCATGCTCAAGCTGATGTGGAGGCTTGTTTTGACAAGGTATGTGATGTGTCGTTATCATTTTAGATTTTTTATTTCTAGGTGTATTGTGAATCAAATTTTGGACTGTCTGTTTGTTTCTGACTGACATTCAACTTGAAAATTCTTTGATTAAAAAATCACGAGACTTTTTATATTACATCTTCTACTATTATATAAAGCGGAAGAGTTTGTTTTCTTTTGTTTGTTTGAACGCGCTAATCTCCGTAATTACAAGTCTGATTTGAATAATTCGTTTTGTGTTGGCTATAAAACATCTTGCTACGACCAATAGGAGATGAGCAGAGCGTGTGAAACCGCGCGGAAGTAGCTAGTGTATATATTATTTATTAAAGTTATCAACCAAAAGGTTATTTGTCTGATTAATAGTAAAGAAGTCGGTAAGATTTGAAAATGTTTACTTTCCAGGCTGATAACATTTAACGGTTACACTTAATTATTGTAGTATTTTTGTACACACTATTGAACATACTATTTCATTAGTTGGTTAGTTGGTAGTGTGATTGTCGAGCTAACAAACAAGTCCCTCCTTCCTATCTTCTATATTTATATATACATTCTATATTTTGAACTTGAGTCGCACCCTTGATTATCATACTCATACATTATTAACTGTTTGAATGTCAGTTAATGATACACAAATGAAAGCACATTGTGTCTGTGTAGATCTGCGTTCCGGTTCATACCACGGGTTAATGTAGTTATTTTTCCAGAGTGCGGGCATGCTCGGCGTGAGTGCCCGCGCCGTGTCGGAGTGGGGCGTGCAGCGCTGCAGCAGCGCGCGCTGGCTGCCCGTGCTGCAGCGCCTCGTGGCCAGCAGGAACAGCGCTAACGTCTCCGCTACGTGCGCTCATTGCTCTCAACCTCTTATACAGGTCAGCCGCCTTTAGTATTTATTGGTAATTCATACTGTCGGACAATAGGCTAGTTTTCTAAATTTTATTTCATGTCCGTCTGGTAGATTATTTTAAAACATTAGACACGTATTTTTTCTTTTTTTAACAAAATTAAATGTTTTCGACGATATATTGATTTGAAATGTCTTGTGACGTCACAGCGTGCAACAAATTGTAGCAAGTTGCGACGTAACTACCTCCCACTCCTAAACTTACTCCATTTTAATAAAGTATTGCAACTTTATACGAGAAAATAAAAAAAATACGTGTCTAATACTTTTTCACTATCTAACTGACGGACTAATTAGATTTTTAATTTTCTTACCCTGGAAACTACCCAATTACCACTAGCACTAGGCCTAAGTTACAACTTGTAAAAATATCTGTTGTCAACAATTACTTGGCCAGCGAAACTATCCTTTAGATAATTTAGGACTCTACTATAGTTAAGAATTTAAAAGAGTAGTATGGTCATGGCTTATCTAAGGCTAAGTAAAATATATTTGGTTGTCACCTTAAAAAGAGTGGCCTACAACTGATACAGTTAAGAGACATACTAGTTAGAATATACAGCTATTCGAGATTCGCAACAAAGAGGCACAATAGGCAGTCAATAAATAGGTGGGTGGGTCCCAAAAGAGAAAAAAAAAGATAAAAAAAACAGAACTTTCATTACTACCTGCAACCCACTTGTTATTCACCTGACATCGTCTACCTGTTATTGTTTACTTCTTGCGGTTTTTATCTCGCGGTGCGCAGGCGCCGATGCTCGTACATTTTACGCACTTTCAATTTTGTCGCCATACAATGAAGACGTGTGTAACGGGACGTAGTCTGCTATTGTCTGCTACTGTTTGCAAAACGTATTAGTATGTTAATTACGTATTGTTTAAAATAACGGAAAAGTTTGTGAAAACATTAATCTCCTAAGTTTAGAATACACTTAATGTGGAAGTGAAACTTATTATTGCTACTGAGATAGAAACTTCTTTTTAACTAAAATGTTGTGTATAATTTTACTGCGGACATTGTTTATTTTGTGGGCAAAGCCTGCAAAGGTGATGCCACAATATTGGCGGGAAAATTGAGAATGCATCTCAGTTAAGGAATACTAAGGACTGAACTATTCCTTCTACTGTTCGTTTTTGATAAGATATCTACTAAATTATTTAGGCAGCAGCACTCCGAATTTTCTACCTTTAGAATAATCTATACCTTGTAAAATATGATCTAGCACACTTGCCCTTAGTTCAGCAATGGACTGTCCTGGATTGTTGATGATAAATGCTTATTACAGGTGCTCAAATTCAAATGCAGTAAATGCAGTGACATCTACTTCTGTGAGAAGTGCTATTTGTATGACAAGGACCTGACCACCGTCAGTGGACATAAGAAGACGCATCTTGTACATGAGATCATGGACGGACAGGTAAGCAGTTTTTACGGGACTACGGCGAAGCCAAAAAGAGAGTTATTATGTTGCACCATACTAGGGTTTTCTCCTATATCGTGGGTGCATTTACAAACATACAATTTCACATACACATCGAATCTAGACTCGAAACAACAATTTGAGATCATACATTAAGAGATTTACAAATCATTAAAAGATCATATAATGCTCTGTGAGGGAATCTAACCCGCTAGCGTGTGTGTGTCCGTTATAAAAGTTGTCTGTCCTTCGAGGCCTCCTGAAGATTACTTACTATTACTTCAGGGAGCCCTGAACACGGCACCGAGTGATAGCTAATTCACCACCTTTCCTTCCTTTCAGACAAAAACATCAGAATGTATAAACTTCATAAAGGGTATGAAGAGACTATTCTTCTGTACTAAAACTAAGAAGAAAGGCCCTAAGAAGGGTTCTAAGAAGAATGTAGACAATGTGGACAGTGGTACAGTCAGAAGAAGGAAGGATGGCAGGCCTGTGATCTTCACGTCTACAGTGGGTAAAGCTTCAGGCAATAATGCAAGTAACCCCACTGTTGTGTTAAATGATATTATTACGCAGCTTGAAACGCAACACAAGTAAGTTGTTTTGTCAGATCTTTTGTTGAAAATTATTTCTGTTTACCACTAGTCTAATAAAATGACCCGAGCGTACGGCGCGTTGCACAGATGGGGCCCAACAGGGCTGAGGCCGATTCGGAGTCGCGGAGAACCTAACGGGTAACCGGGGCTCCGGCTCGACATGCAGGAGAAGGAACGGGGTGGTTTTTAGTCAGTAAGAGTCTGACACTCCCTCCCGCCTCACCCAGGCGGGAGCAGTCATTCGATGAATTTCCCCTTACAAAAAAATCTAATAAAATAAAAATCCTTAGTAAACTAATCTCATTACCTATTTTCTTTTCTTATTGAATAAGCTTTTTATAAAATAAGCTTTACATAGAGAGGAGTGGAAGAAGGGTAGGGGCCTTTGCCCTGCAGTGGGACGATCATGTCAGAATATAAAAATAAAAATTGAATAAGCCAGTAAACGAGCAGACGGCTCCCCTGATGGTAATCAATCGGCGCCGCGCACGCATGCCTGAAACACCATAGGCGTTACCGGCCTTTTATGATCACGAATTTGATGATTGTTGGGGATTCAGGGATTTATAGGGAGATTAGGCCTCCGGTAGAGAGCTCGCGAGATCTCGTCCATTTTTCGATTTTCGAAAGAGATCTCACGAGATCGAGATTGCATTCTTTACCCATCGGAAAAGTAAAGACGATAGTACGATTCAAGTAATCAACTGACTAATATGATTTTGTAAATAATAATTATAACACCTTTTATCACTAATCTACAATAAAACTATAAAATATCTATTCCAGATCCCTCCAAGAGCTGTCGAGCAGGCTTGACAGGTTGTATGGGAGTGAGGCTGATGCCAAGAACAATGACAATGATGAGTTGCGGACCAAAGTGGAGGCGCACTGGGCTCACATGTCCACACAGATTAGCAGACTGAAGGCTTTGAAGGTATAGAACAATTTAACTTGTATTTTAAATAATAGCATTTAGTTGTTGGGGAAGTATACCTATGCATGCTATGGTCTAATATTCTAACTTTTTTTGAGTTACTTATATACGATTTACTCACGATAAGCAGGCCGCGTAATATGCGACGAGTATCAAAGATGGACATCCCCACAATCATTCGGTACAATTCAACTTCCTACAAATGTATTGTATATGCACACATCGGAAACACAGTTATAACGTGGCACCGCTTTGAGAATGTCGTCTCGTCGTCTAATGACGATGATTTCTTGTTGTGACGACATAAAAAACGAACGTTTTCGATATTGAAATCGTGCACGCGCGACACACGAGAGGTTACTCAAAGTTTGCGCAGTCCTTCGAGTCGCCGGTATTAGTTAATATCTTCGGTACCTTCCTAAATGTTATCCCTTTTCAGTGTTCATGTTGCTCATTGCTTTCTATAAAGTAATTAATTCAATTCCAGGAGAACCTATCATCAAGTCAAACGATAATAGTATCAGAAAATGCTCCGAAAACCGACAAAATCGAACGACCGCAAGCATTTGATCTATTCAGTCCAATACCAGTGATTGAAAACGAAAAGCAGTCCAAAGTCGCAGACATTAAAAGCCAGCCGCGGGTACTGAGTCTGGATTCTGGAAACTTCTCTGTGGTTTCGAAGCCAGAGAGTCAGAATTTGCTGACTATGTCTGGAGATGCTCTGAAGCCTGTAGTCGTGCATGCCACCTCTGACAGCATATCTACTGTGTCTATGAATGATATCAGCAATTGGTATAATGGTAAGTACCTACTTAACCACTATAATATAATTTTATTAATCAGTACAAAACAATAGTTTTTACGAGTAACGCATTTTTTTTTGTTTTCGGTCAGAGGCCTTAGTACGAGTTTGTTTTACGTTTAAAGTGCGTTCTGATTGGTTGGTTTATCGGAGCCGGCCAATCAGAGTGCCAAACGAGTACTTGTTTCGATTACTTCTAACGGAAAATGGACTCTTACTAAGGCCTCTGCTTGTGAACTTTAAGAACCTTCTTGATATGATACTAAGTGAACAGCTTCTCTAAATATTCCGGCGTCTATTTCGATATGTATTGGATGAAACTATTTTTTTTTCTTTTTAAAAGAAATGCTGCCCCACACTGGGATTTTCTCCTGTGTCGTGGGTGCGTTTACAAACATACAAGTTCACATACACATGACACCTAGACCCGGAACAACAATCTGTGGATAACACAAATAGTTGTTCCGTGCGGGAATTGAACCCGCAACCCGTTGTCGGCAGCCGGTTGCCCAACCACCGCGCCAACCGTGCAGTCAAATACAATCACTAGTGTAATGTGTGCAAGTGCAGAATTAAAGTTGTGTTCAATATATTCTTTCTATAAACCCTATTTTCTATCCAAAGTAAAAGACCAAATATAGTTCAGCAGGCTGTAAGTGAATACAGTAGATAGTCTTTCAAAAAAGCATCACGCAAATCGGTCCACAAACCGTGGAGTAATCGATGTACATACTTAAAAAAAAAACCGGCCGAATTGAGAACCTCCTCCTTTTTCGGAAGTCGGTTAAAACATTTTTGTATATAGACGTTTATCCCAAATTCTTCCAGAAACTGAATCACTACCAGAGAAAAGAGTACGTAGCAAGCCTCGCCTAGCGGACACGACGAACCACTCATTATCAGCTGCTGAGCAGAAGTTCGCGGCCGACATACGACATGTAGAGGACAGTAACGATAAGATGAAGGAACTTAATGCTGACCTAGACACCGTACTCGATAGACTGCAGCAAATATTGACTAATAATTTTGCTATGGATGGTGAGTTAACAATCTTATCATAATACATCAGCATTTTTTGCATTTAAAGTCTCTTGCTCGCGCAGTTTCACTCGTTGCTTGGTTCTTGTTGGTCCTAACATGATGTTTTCTCTCTATAGCACACACACACACACAACACAAAATAATTTTAAATCTGAACCAGCATTTTCGGAGATTCGCGCTCAACCAAACAATCCCTAACTTGATAATTTCAGAAGGTTATAAAGTAAAACAGTAGTTTTTATAATAACTATCGTGAGACAAACTAAATTAACTACAAATCGCGGGTTATTCACGTGAATATGTATAAATATAGCCATAAGTCAGTAGGCTGCGCGACATCGTTGCGACCGCGCACGCTGCTCATGAGAAAGAGCCCCCCTGTGGTTCCAAACTAGTAAAGCTTTTCTCAGTATATTTAGTTAATAGGTTTAGTAGAGCAGAGTTCTCAGAGTTTTTAGTGTGGGAGAGCCATGCTTCGGCACGAATGGGCCGGCTCGACCGTCGTGATACCACGACCGAGCAGAAAACCGACGTGAAGCAACGCTTGCGTTGTGTTTCGTCGTGTGAGTGAGGTTACCGGAGTCCTAATCACCCTCCTCTTCCCCAAACTCCCCAATTCCTGAATCCCCAACGATCCTCAAACTCCTAATTCCCCAAAAGGCCGGTAACGCACTTGTAACGCCTCTGGTGTTCCAGGTGTCCATGGGCGACGTCGATTGCTTATCATCAGGTGATCCGTCTGCTCGTTTACCGGCTTATGCCATAAAAAAAGTTCTATGAAAATAGTTTTCCTACAGTCCTTTTACAGAACTTGCAATTTTAAACTTCTACTGCATAAAAGTAAAATGATTCAATGAATGATTGCTAATATTGGTATGTCTATTTCAGACTCATGCTTTGACAACACTCAACTGCGGGAGACGGCGAATGAAATGGAAGGGTTACTCGGTACTTTAATACGAGGGGTCGAGCAGAGAGCCACATTGAACGCTACGAAAGGACTAGTATAAGATATACAAAGTTATCGACATGCAATAGATGCATGTGTGTAATTTTGTATTTATTGAGATATTGGAAAAGTATGGCGTCATTTACTCTGCTGAAAGTAAGTGAAAACGTTTCAAGTTAGTATAATTAGCAAATTGATAATCTGGTTATCGGATACCATTTTGCTCAAAGGCAGTTTGAATTGAAAAAAATAATGAAATGAATTATACAATTTTAGGCTTTAAATACTTTAGCTTATATTATAATAGAATTCAAAGATATTTTAAATAGAAATTAACTTCTTAATCTCTGATTATGAAATCCACAACGTTCATACAAAAGTAGTCTAAACAACGGAAATAAGGTCTATAATGGTGTAAGAGCGGTCACATTACTCACTTTGAGCAGCGGAAGTAGCGCAAGTACACACTGAATTAGCGCAGTAGCGCATTATTTTGCGCAAACTGAGATTAAAGCAATTGCACTGATTTGTTTTGACTTATTTTTATGTACCTCTAATTATAGTTGTTTCATAAATGTATAAATCTATGAACTACTAATGCCTGTGACATCAAATATTGAATTTTTAATTTTCTTGATACTCATTGTAGCTCTTATGTAAAAGAGATATGACTTATTTTGCAATAGCAATGAAGACTGGTTGACATGTTCATTATATTATTTGAATTGTAACTGTCAATTTATTCACTGACAATTTAAAAGCTTGCTACTTGATACCTTATAATTATGTAAACAATGCAGGCCATATACGACTCTAATATTGAAGGAATAATAATTATTATTGAAAATTGTGTTCATAGCGAAATAAAATTCGCAAAAGTACAGCTATGATTTAATTGGTTGTGCGCTTATGTGTAAAAAAGAATCTCATCTACGAATCTCAGTACCTTGAATTTTTTATATCAAGTATTTAAGTTATATCTATTGAATGCCTGTTATGATCATAATATTATAACAATGTAATGTTTAAAAAGACTTATGAAACAGTTCCTCTGTCAAGCAAATGTCAATCTTATGACCATCCATTTCATTGAATCTCATGTTTAATTATGAAGTCTATTATAAGGTTAATTTCGAACAAATGTTTAGTTACTTTTACCCCCAGTTTACATGGTATGTTAATTAATTTTAAGATAATTCAGCCGTCCTTAATTTTGGTGCTCAATTTAAGAACTATTGTAGAAATCTCGTATACAATAAAAACGCATATTAGAAAAGTAACATGCCATATATTTTATAAAAAATTTACATACATTTTCGTGTTTATTAAATAGAAAAAATAATAATATTGTCATATAAATTAAACGTAATGTTAAAACTATTTTAGGATTAAGTTATAATAATAAATTGCTACATTTCATTTTGTGCGTTTAACAAGTAAATAAAAAATATATTAATAAAATAGAGCAATCTATTTATAATTCTCATTACAAGTAAGCGTATATCACTGTCTTAGAATAAAGAAAACAATGCAAACTGATAATAACGAGAAACACCTGGAAAATATTGAGCAACAAATTTAAAAAGTTACATACAAACTTTTTGCAGTCGTTCAAAAAGGCGCCAATGTATTGGCCAATAAAAACAAATGTCAATATCTAAACTTTTGAACGTCATTTTCAATGCTCATTCCAAGTTTAAATCTCGCGCCATTCTATTATTATGGACAGGGAAGTATTGTAAAGCAGATGAACTAGCTTCTATGGGAATATTGTTTCACACACACCGTAAACTCAAAACTAAAAAAAATATGATATTTATGTTAGCCATTAAGTAAAAAAAGGTATGACAATGACATTACAATCTGCCATCGCAGATAACGTGCATTCTATAACTAAACGCTCAATCTTTATACAAATTATTCGTAATATAATAAAAAAAAGTACAAAAAAGCAATTAAATTGCTCCGGCACAACCTTATTACGTACTTAAAATTAATTAAATTCAATTTATATCGAATCATTTACAATTATAAGTTTATGTATAAATGTTAGCGTATTCTATAGTAATTATAATTATAATATAATAAATGTTTTACGTGTCAGCATAAGTGTTTTATTTCTATTATATTACGTATATCTACATTTGGGTAAAAATCGTATAAAATAGCTTATAAAAATTATGTCTATCATAAATGATTACTCAGAATACGCCCTTTTGTTCCACAACCTTTTGCGTTAGTGGCTTTCCATAAAGAAACAGGTTACCGGTACGGGCTGGCCGGTACTGATACGTACAGAGAGTACAGGTAACATTTAGATAAAAACGACCTTGTACCCTTATTTAATTATCGTTTATAATGCCTGCACCGATCATCGGTACCGACTAACCCGTACCGGCAACCTGTTTTATCATATGATCGCGCTTTTTGAATATATAATTGACAATGTAGGACGTTAAAAATTGTTATATAGGTACCTAATATCGTCAATAAAATGTGGAAGACAATTGGACGGTAGCCATTTTGTTGTAACGTTTTTAATATTAAATAACGTGTTATCATAATTATATCGGTAAAATTATGACTAATAATTATAATATTTTATTATTGCAATAATATCGTAATAATATCCAGCATCAATGGTTGTGACAATTGTATGTTTATGAACTACTAGCTGTTGCCCGCGACTTCGTCCGCGTAGAATAATGACTTCTGGCAGAATTTAGGCTTTTGAATTAGTTTTTATCAAGGGATATTCTACGGTAATGGATGTCGTCAGAATTGATTCAGTCCCGTAGATGATAGCGTGATAATATGTAGCCTATATGTTTACCAGACTTGTTAGTAATATTCATGCAAAATTTGAAATAGTAGTGCAGTACTTTTTGAGATCATCACGGCCATACATACAGACAAACAGACAAAAATTCTAAAAACCACATTATTGGCTTCGGTATCGATTAGAGATCACGCTTCAAATATTCTTTTAAAAAATATTCAATGTACAGTTTTGACTTTTCTACGATTTATTATATGTGTAGATAGCTGTTGCCCGCGACTTCGTCCGCGTAGATTAATGACTTCTGACAGAATTAACCAGAATCAATTCAGTGCCCAAGTAAGATTTACCTATTTTGAAATGATTTATCGTAGTTTCAATAAATAAATAATCCCGCAGGGATCTTACCAGTACAGTGCCCGATCACGTAAGGTTTGAGTAATAAAAACTATTCTATCGACTATTGTTGTACCGAATCTCTCTAGAATAAGTTCAGTGGTTAAGAGTTAGAGAGTCCTGGGGCATTGACGCATAGTTCCCGTTCTCGTGAGACATCTGTGAAAAAACTATCATACGTTACCCAGGTCCCAAATCATCGTTTTACCGAATGTAATTCAAAAAGATTCAATGATTCTAAATTCAACGGCTAAGAAGATTTATACAAACTCTCATTCCCTATTTTATCCCCTTAGGGGTGGAATTTATCAAAATCCTTTCTAAAGAGATACCTATGTCATAGTAACTTTATGCATGCAAAGTCTCAGCCCGATCAATTTAAAACTGGCAAAGTATCATACTTTGGGGTGAGAATGTTCAAAAACCTTTCTAAAGGGACGTTTACGTCATAATATCCATCTGCACGCCGAATTTCAACCCGATCGGTGTAAAACTGACAAAGCCTCACACAAACGTTCATCCCCTATTTTACCCCCTTGGTGGAAATTATCAAAATCCTTTCAAAGCGGATGCTTACGTCATAACATCTATCTGCATGCCAAATTTCAACCTGATCGGTTTAAAACTGACAAAGGCTCATATAAACTTTCATCCCCTATTTTACCCACTTGGGGGTGGAAATTATCAAAATCCTTTCACAGCGGACGCCTACGTCGTAACATCTATCTGCATGCCAAATTACAACCCGATCGGTTTAAAACTGACAAAGGCTCATATAAACTTTCATCCCCTATTTTACCCACTTGGGGGTGGAAATTATCAAAATCCTTTCATATCGGATGCTTACGTCATAACATCTATCTGCATGCCAAATTACAACCCGATCGGTTTAAAACTGACAAAGTCTCATACAAACTTTCATCCCCTATTTTACCCCCATTGGGGGTGGAAATTATCAAAATCCTTTCACATCGGATGCTTACGTCATAACATCTATCTGCATGCCAAATTACAACCCGATCGGTTTAAAACTGACAAAGTCTCATACAAACTTTCATCCCCTTTTTTACCCCCTTGGGGGTGGAAATTATCAAAATCCTTTCACAGCGGATGCTTACGTCATAACATCTATCTGCATGCCAAATTACAACCCGATCGGTTTAAAACTGACAAAGTCTCATACAAACTTTCATCCCCTTTTTTACCCCCTTGGGGGTGGAAATTATCAAAATCCTTTCTTAGCGAATGCCTACGTCATAACATCTATCTGTACGCCAAATTTTAGCCCAATCTGTCCAGAGGTTTGGGCTGTGCGTTGATAGATCACTATGTCAGTCAGTCAATCAGTCAGTCAGTCAATCACCTTTGAATTTTATATATATAGATTACTTATGCGTTTTCTGATAACCTGGTTTGGTTTGTCTTTAGTTTTTGAATCCCACTGAATTCATTTCATAATTTATATTGCAAACTAGCTGCTTGCTCTGGCCTTTGTACGGGTGCAGTTCCCCGACCGACCTATTATCCAATTTAATGCAGTCATTCGGGAGTTATGATCGTACATATTTATGTATCATGTACGTACATTCTGGCAAATCCATTCTTAACCAAAGAATCGAGTCGCATTTTCAAACGCGTAAAGTAACAAAAACAAGATTACAGTTTGTGACGAACCAAACTGCTAACACTTTTGTGATGATAACGCAAATTCGAACTTAAATACTTAAAAATAAAGTATATTACTGAATAACTCGTTAGTTCCTCTTGCTGCTGTTGATGAGGTATTTGCAGCAGTGTGTGAGGAGGTGCTTCTCTTTCTCCGTGGAACCGTTTTGGTGGATAGCTGTGGGACCGCCGCGCTCTCGCGTGTAGATGTCCAGACCATATTGACCTGGAGAAGGAAAGGTAATTTAGATCAATTATTTTGTGTTTTTTACTTGGGTCTGTTTACGTGTTTACTACAAAACCTATGATAACCTTATGTACCAAACTAGCTTCTGCCAGCGGCTTCGCTTGCGTTCCCAAAGCTAAAAAGTAGTATATGTATTACTTCAGACCATAATCTATCTCGGTTCCAAATTTCATCTGTGACTGAGTAACAAACATTATTATACACAAACTCACATATTTTTACATTTATAATATCGGTTCAAGCTAATTTCAACCATCGGCCCTACATTTACAGCGTAAAGTCCACTGCGGGTAATCTAACATCCGACAAGCTTATATGTAAGTTGATACAGTAACTGGGTCTAGGGATTGAGCCGCAAAATTAAGTTTGTTTGTTCGTGTGAGTTTTGTGCACAGGATATTAAAGTACCGAACCGGTAGTTTTTCTGTGATGCGTGAACATGCAGACAAACAGACAAAAATAACGTCAAAGTCAAAGTCAAAGTCAAAGCATTTATTTCAATTATACCATAATTTGGTACTTTTGAAACGTCAACGTCCGATTGGATATATTTTTCCAAACGGCCTTATTACCTATAACCACTATATTTACAATCCCAATAATTACATTTTAACATACCTTCTTCAGGGAACGTGATATAGAAGGAGACGATGTCATCGGATACGTTTTGCTGGACGTACTTGGAGAGCCTCTTCTCGTCCACACCGTTCTTGTGCAGAGTCGCCATGAAGTCCGCCAGGGGGCGCGACATGCGGAACTGGATCTCAAGCTCACGACCCGCGAACACTAACGCTTCCTGGAAATATGGATTATGTACAGGTGAATTATTTTTTGTTTTAATACATGTAACTAGCTTATGGTTGCTGACATAAGTGTGAAATAATAAATTTTCGAAAAAATAAGTGACAAGCAGAGACTGTGTCACAATTGGACAGTTTCTTTTCCGGGACATTGTACAACGACTGCCCGAAGGAGTAGGCATATGTGCAAATTACGGCACTTAGTGCCATTGCATAGTGTAACACTCACTTTTCACTATTTATGTTATGAGTCCCATGTAGTAGGGGCCTAGGGGGTGAGCCTATTGCCATATACCGGGCACAATTCCAGACTTCGTGCTACTACTGAGATTTTCCTTGTTTAAGAAACCCCGGCAATATTTTGCCCGACCTGGCAATCAAACCTGACTCTGGTTTGATTGCCTTGCCCGGCAGTCGCACTTGCGACCACCCGGCTGTCGAGGCAGTCAAAGCATTCTAAAACATTAAATTAGATATAAAACGACTCGGATATTACCTGATGCGTTATAGGTACGAGTCCAAAGAGTCTGGTAGCTTTCGTGGGTCCCCACTCGCCGCTCGCGCAGTCTGGGAGCGGCACCATCACTGTTTGTAGCTCCGCACAGCAAATCTATAATGAAAAATCAGTATATCTAATAGTAATCTGTACACAACAATTAAATAATAAATAAAGTCTGGCAAACGAAAGTAGAGACTGAAAAAGCCCGGCAAATTTAAAAAATATCAGTATAGCAACCCAAAAATTAGTATGCTATTGGGTTGATATACTGATGATACTATTGGGTTGCTGTACTGATATTTTTTAAATTTGCCGGGCTTTTTCAGTCTCTACTTTCATTTGCCAGACTCTAACTCCTACTATTTTTCAGACACGCCCTTAATTTTTTAGTGGCCAGGTTAAACCGGAGAAGTTTCGGTGAAAGGGTTTCTTTCTTATCCCAAGTTACGTGTTGTCGGCACAATGTTTTATTTTTATATTCTCCATTCGATTTTCATTATATGAATCAATAGCCAATAAATGCCCACCGCTGAGCAAAGCCTCTTCTCACACGGAGAAGGTTTGAGCATTAATCACCACGCTTGCTCAATGCGGGTTGGCGATGTCAAACTTATAATTAGAAATTATAAGCCCAGGTTTCCTCACGATGTTTTCATTCACCGTTTGTCAGTGGTGTCTACATAATCTTAGAAAGTACATATAACTCGGAAAAAGTCACATTGGTACTTGCCGTTGGTAGGTTTCGATTTCGCATCCTCATACATGAGAAGCGGGCGTCTTAAACCTCCGGGCCACCACGATTTCATTATAACGCCTTGGTAAAATGACTGTACTGGTATGTACTATTTTAATTTAAATAAATTACGGGAAAATAAAAAATGTGTTCAACATATTAAAGATTTTTTACCTTGAATTTGCAAACGCTCTTGAACTTCATGGGTTCTCCGGTAAGGTATTCCCTGGGTGTGACGGCGTTCGCGAATATGTCCAGCAGGAATGCACCGCTGCAAGGCGCGTGCACACGGAATGATACCACGTTGCCCACCACCGACTGAGGAATGACAAAATAGATTATAATTTATTTATGAATACAATAAGGTAATAGCAGCACTTCTTCAGGCTACAGTTGGAGGGAGTAAATAATAATATCCTTACTAATGTTATAAATCGGAAAGTGTAGTACTAAACCGATTGCTTTGAATTTTTACAGACGTAAAGTTAGAAGTCCGGAATAAATAATAGGGTACTTTTTATCCCCGAAAAATTTGAATTTCCCGAGGGAAAATAAAAGTATTGGTATAGATGGCGCTGTGTGTATTGGTATATGTCACATAAGCTACTTTTTATCATTTTGTGACGCGAGCGACCTCGCGGGTAAAAGATAGTATCTAAATAAATAAAATGAATTTCCGTTCGTTAGTCTCGCTAGGACCCGGGTACGTCCTAAAACTGCGACCAGACACCGAGGAATGGGGAGCAGCATTCTACAAAACTATCGGTGACCTAACTGCGCTCGCCAACCCGCCTGCCAAGCGTGGCGAGTATTGGCAAAACCCCCCCAATGGACTGCTCAGATAAAACTAGGCCCCCAGTCTCCGGCAGTCCCGCCGTTCCTGGCTACCGTGGTAGCGGTCAGGCTAACGGCGGGACACGGGGTGCTAAGAATCCCCGGAGGTGGAAAAAAGGCTACCACCCCCGACGACGACTGGCCCTGGTAACACACAATGTTCGCACTTTGAGGACAGACGAGAAGATTGTTGAGCTGGAAGAGGAATTGGGTAGGTTGCACTGGAGTATTGTGGGGTTGTCAGAAGTCCGGCGAGAGGGCGAGGACACGATAACCCTAGGGTCCGGCAACCTATTCTACTACCGGGAGGGCGACCAACTGTCCCAAGGTGGTGTCGGTTTTCTCGTCCACAGGTCCCTCGTCAACAACATTGTTACCATCGGAAGTGTGTCGAGCAGAGTGGCGTACCTGATACTCAGAGTATCCAACAGATACTCGTTGAAGGTCATCCAGGTTTATGCACCGACTTCGACACACCCAGATGAGGAAGTGGAGATTATGTATGAGGACATTAGTAGGGCCATACATACCAATAAAACCTACTTCAGTGTTGTTATGGGGGACTTCAACGCGAAACTGGGAACTCGAGGTGATAACGAGCTGAGAGTGGGGCAATTTGGATGTGGGCAACGGAACCATAGAGGACAGAGGCTGGCCGAATTCCTGGAGAAGGAGGACCTCTTTGCGATGAACTCCTTTTTCCAGAAGCCGCCTCACAGGAAATGGACCTGGATGAGCCCGGACGGTTCCACGAAAAATGAGATCGACTTCATCATGACCACAAAGCGACAGATATTCAATGATGTCTCTGTAATCCATAAGGTAAAAACCGGTAGCGATCACCGACTGGTCAGAGGCACATTGAATATCAATGTTAAGTTGGAAAGATCCCGTCTGATGAAGTCCACGCTCCGACCTTCAAATGCACATATCGGTTGCCCCGAGAGCTTTCAGATCGAGCTGTCAAATCGTTTTGAGTGCCTGGAGAATAGCGAGTCAGTGGACGAGATTAACAACAGGTTCGTAGAAACTGTCCATGCGGTTGGGTCGAAGTTTTTTAGACCCCGCCGAAAAGACAGACCGCAGAAGCTTACCGATTGTACCCTCAGACTCATGGCAGAACGACGTGCTATGGTGCTCCAGACCTCTGCCGATGCTAAAGCACATCGGCAGCTCAATAGACAGATATGGAAGTCCCTGCGACACGATATCCGCAACTTTAATGTCAATATGGTTAAAGAAGCGATAGAGCGGAACCAAGGCTCCAAAGTGTTCGCTAGGGACGTGTCTATTGGGCAAAGCCAGCTGACGAAGCTGAAGGCGGAGGATGGTAGTGTGGCGTCGACGAAAGCCGAAGTTTTGGGGGAGATCGAGACGTTTTATGGTCAGCTATACGCATCGGTCACTAAACCTGTTAGCTCAGTTGCAGATCCAAGAGCTAGACTTACCCGACATTATACCGAGGATATCCCGGACATCAGCCTATACGAGATTAGAATGGCCCTCAAGCAGCTTAAGAACAACAAGGCGCCGGGTGAAGACGGAATCACATCAGAGCTTCTGAAAGCGGGCGGAACGCCGGTACTGAGAGTCCTTCAGAAGCTCTTCAACTCTGTCATATTCGAAGGAGTAACGCCGGCGGCATGGGGCAGAGGTGTGGTGGTGCTGTTCTTCAAGAAAGGAGATAATACTCTACTGAAAAATTACAGACCCATCTCACTTCTGAGCCATGTCTACAAGCTGTTTTCGAGGGTCATTACGAATCGTCTCACACGTAGGTTCGATGACTTCCAGCCTCCCGAACAAGCCGGTTTCCGGAAAGGCTATAGCACCATAGACCACATCCATACACTGCGGCAGGTTATACAGAAGACCGAGGAGTATAACTTGCCACTATGCTTAGCGTTTGTGGACTATGAGAAGGCCTTTGATTCGATCGAGACTTGGGCGGTGTTAAGATCTCTCCAGCGTTGCCGTATTGACTATCGGTACATTGAGGTTTTAAAGTGCTTGTACACAAACGCCACTATGTCGGTCCGAGTACAGGACCGGAACACGAGGGATATTCCTCTGCAGCGAGGTGTAAGGCAAGGAGACGTCATATCTCCAAAACTGTTTACCGCTGCATTGGAAGACGCCTTCAAACTTTTGGAATGGAAAGGATCTGGCATCAACATCAACGGCGAGTACATCACACACCTCCGGTTTGCCGACGACATTGTGGTCATGGCAGAATCGCTGGAGGATCTAAGCACAATGCTCGATGACCTCTGTAGAGTTTCTCAACAGGTAGGGCTCCAAATGAACATGGACAAGACGAAAGTCATGTCGAACGCCCATGTTACGCCCTACCCGATATCAGTTGGGAGCTCTACCCTCGAAATTGTTGACGAATATATATACCTAGGACAAGTGATCCAGCTAGGTAGGTCCAATTTCGAGAAAGAGGTCAATCGTCGAATCCAACTTGGATGGGCAGCGTTCGGGAAACTACGCAACATCTTCTCGTCCAACATACCTCAGTGCCTCAAGACGAAAGTCTATAATCAGTGTGTGTTACCAGTGATGAACTATGGAACAGAAACGTGGTCTCTTACTGTGGGCCTTATAAAGAAGTTCAAGGTCGCTCAGCGCGCTATGGAAAGGGCTATGCTCGGAGTTTCTTTGCGAGATCGGTTAAAAAACGAGGAAATCCGCAAACGAACAAAGGTCGCCGACATAGCCCAGCGGATTAGCAAGTTGAAGTGGCAGTGGGCAGGGCACATAGCGCGGAGAACCGACGGCCGCTGGGGCAGAAAGGTTCTCGAGTGGAGGCCACGTACCGGCAAGCGCAGCGTAGGACGTCCATCCGCAAGGTGGACAGACGATCTCATTAAGGTCGCAGGGAACCGCTGGATGCAGGTCGCTTCCAACCGGCCTATCTGGAAGTCATTGGGGGAGGCCTATGTTCAGCAGTGGACGTCCTGTGGCTGATATGATGATGATGATGATGAGTCTCGCTAAAACTCGAGAACGGTTGAACCGATTTGGCTAATTTTGGTCTTGATATGTTCGTGGAAGTCCAGGAGAGTTTTAAAGGGAGGGAATTTTTTTTACACGGTACGGAAGTACGAAGTTTGCCGAGTCAACTAGTAAGAACATAAAACATGATTGACAAGTTGTGTGTAAGTTTTCATGCTTTTAAGTCAAAGTCAAAGTCAAAATTATTTATTTCAATTAGACCAGAGAGGCGCTTTTGAACGTCAATTGCGTCAACGTCAGTAAGGAATTGTTTACACCTTCTCGTATAAAATATAAGAGGTACATACCTGCATGACGAATCTCTTGAGACTGACGCCATCGAAGCCGTCTCCCTCCGTGTCGTAGAACTTGAGGTTGTAGTGGAAGATGAGCGAGCTCTGCATGTGTGCTGGCATGGCTATACGCATAGTCGCCGCACCTGGAATACAATAAACCGTAATGTAGAAACTTTAAGAACATTTAGGAACCGTCTTGTGTACAAAGTATTATTGCGTTGCCCGGAGTCTAGATTTCTGATATTAGTACAGTAAAAACAACATCTAAAGACATATGCAACGGACAAAATGAAGATCTTACCAGTCGAATCAGTAAACATGACAGCCTTCGTGTTAGGATCACTGAAGTACAATCCATATCTGAAGAACAGCGATCTGACGAAGGGCAGTTCCTCAAAGTCATGCAGAGTGATGGGCGTCTTCAGCAGCTGCCAGTCAGGCTGCAGCGGGAAGAACTCGTAGATGAACTCCCGAGGGTCCGTCAAGAAGTAATGATCATCGTATTCATATCTGGAGGCGAAATAAGCACCTTTAAACACCATGAATGCCAAATTGGATTGCGAAGTTATTAGACACGCGCACATCCGACAATATTGCCTATTAACCGTCTCTCTTTCAATAAAATTGAAATAGTACATCTTATTCTAACCATTCTGATCTTCACCACATACCTTAAGCTATCACTCTTCCCTCTATTGCCCGGTTTCGGCGCATCCTTAGCGTTGACCAGATGCCTGGCTCCCCAATTGCACTGAACGAAACGCCACGCTCCAGCCACGAATACTGCGTTCCAAGAATTACGGAATCTGTTGTCTTCGAAGCGCACTCCTGGCTGGTAGCCTGCAGATTTACTGTAGCCTTTGATCACCACACAGTGGAGACCTGCATAGCTGAAAGTAAAAACAAAAAAAGGTTTAAAAATAATTGCAGGAAGTCCAAACTTTCATCATTATTCTCTAGTCATGTGAAATTGTAACCTTGCTTCACCTAGCTTCACTGACGGACTGACTGACAGACTATTATTTATTTTGTATTTGTTGACGTTTCAAAAGTACTAAATTATGGAAAACTCTGACTTTGACTTTGATTGAAGAACTTAAAATCTCTCCGAATTTTTTCTATGAAGACATATGTGGTTACTTTCATCTGTGTTCTATGCGGTATATGAAACTTAGAAGGTCGTACCTGCACAATCTTTTAAACAGAACGTGGTAACTTTCAGTGCCATGTTTAATGCCTCTGAGCAGTCCTAGCGGTGAGTCTCCCCGAAGGTTGTCATCAAATTGAATGTTGTTCAGGTTCTTGACAGTGATCCAGCGGAATATGGTCCTCGCCTTCTCAACGTCACTTGCGCATCTACCTACTAGCTGTCGGACTAGATCCGTAAAGGTTTTTTGGTCTTCTTGTGCCACCTGGAACGAAATTTATTTTTTAAATATGAGTGATATTTTTTAAATGATTAGCGTTCGCGGATACATAACTGACTGAAAAGGAGTATTCTGCACTGTGATTATTTTCTAAATAGATTAAGGTTATATATGAATACCTTATAGACTTACCGAAATAGCAATCTTATCAACATCAGCGAATTCGGCGGGGTCTGTGTAGATATGGAACTTAGAGACGAGCGGGGGTTGAGGCGGTGGGGCGCGGGCAGGGTAAGGCGGTGCCTCTTCACCGTCCACGAACAAGGATGATGCCGCCATATACTCGGACCGACGCTCCTGGATCAGCTCCATCATCTCGTGACTTTGTTTCTCTACTAGAGCCGCTGTTGCCGCTCTGGAATTAATTAGGTGGAATATAGTTGCGACTGTAGATTAGTGTTAGTCTTTTCGTTAATACACAGTTTCGTTGATTAAGTGGTCGCAGGGAAGACTTAATAAAAGATTTAATGTTAGGATTCTGTCGGGGCAAAGAATTATTAAGTTTTCCGATTTATACCAATTATCCTAATCTAACTGTATGTATCATATAGTAATAAGTTCTCCCTCTAAGTCTTAACTTTTAACATAAGTTAGTAAAACTTTGTTGTGACATTTAATTCTTCGCTTTATCTAGATGTTACCAACCTCTCATGTTCCAACATCTTCCGCGTCAAGCTCTCTTTCTTCTTGTCCCTTCTTAGTGTCATATTCTTCTCTAAGTCGGCTCTCTCCTGCTGGTGACGTAACGTGAGGGCTCCTATCTCGGAGTCCGGCCTTCTCTTCTTTACTTGCATCTCTTGTTGGAATCTGCTCGTTAGTCTCTCTAGTTCACGCTCCCATTCATCCTGTAATTGGAAGTTGTTCGTTTATTAATTTTATGTCAATAAATACTTGCTAGTATTGTATATTGTGGTCATTACTTCGCGCCAATCTAGTAAAATCTTTCAAAATGGTAGTTCTACAATTAATGAATTTAAATACATTAGTCTATTTGCCGAGTGATAGTTAATGTTCTATAGCTATGTACAAAATAATGTTATCTTAAAAACCGTAACATCTCCGATGGGGATATGGTTTTTAGTTCTACCTGTATTTCGTCTCGTATTCTTCTGTTCTCTTCCTCTCGATGTTTGGAGAATTTTCTGTACAGGTCGTCTTCTTCTTGTCGATGTTTCATTTCTAATTTAGTCTGTTCATCACGATCCTGAGGACAAACCAACGGACTGATTAGATTTAGAACATGACAATTTTCAATTAACATACAACATTTTTGCTAGTCGTGCTTATTCTTTTCTCTTTTTATTGCTTGTAGATGATCGTCTGTTATTGTCTATGGATTACGCAGCTTCATGCAATACGCACAACCAATTAATAGAGCTCATAAAATTCTTTCTTCATAAAGACTACTGTTAGCAACTCAGTCACAATTTGTCGTAACATCTGTAGTCGTGTTGTCATATAAGTCGTTAAGCATACAATAATGACGACACATTTCTAAACAGAGCGCAAACACATAATGAATCTGTTTCTAAGTACAATTTAACTTGAAAGTAGAAATGTACAACTTACTAAGTTTTTACACAAGGCTTCATCAGTCCATTGACTTGAAACTTAATAACTGTCTAACACTACCATTTTCTACCATAACAGATGCTTGAAGGCAGATAGTGACCATAATTACCACTATATTTATCTTGATCATAAATCAAAGTATATAGCTACCTATATACCGTATCTAATTCAATCTTATTTAGCTTAGTAATATGTCAGGAAAGATTAGCGGCTAGACGACCATTAGATCGTCACGATGGAAAGTGTCGCCACCTGGCGGCCGCCGTGAAAAGTGAAACGATTGTGTCGTTCACCTGCGCGCGCGCAAGGTAGCGATTAGATCGTAGAATAGGAAGGGTCAGAATACCGAGTTGGAACAATGATGAGGTAGTTCATTATGTTCTTCTAATTGAACTAATAGTTATGCAATGCCTAAGTATCTAAATAAGGTGCATGGAATTCAAATTGTTTCAGAATTCCATCGATGTAAAATATGTGATGAGGAGAGTGCACACAAGTACCTACTTATAAGTCAAGTTCCTATCTTAAGATAGACACAAGAACTACATTTGCAGAGTCAAATAGTTTTGGCAGTTCATATATAGATACGGGCTTACGGAGTACCCATACATATATGACCTTACCTTTGTAAGTTTTGTAACCTTACTGAAGTTATTTTGTTGCTTCTAACTAGGCCTTCTGTTCCCCAGTACCTTTCTTACTCCGTGATTAGATGACCGATCGCACCAGCTTATTTATTGATAGCTCGCTACAGGTTTATCACGGTGTTCATTGCTCACGGTAATTTTCTGTCTTTTAATGCTGTTTTTGCGGTAGCACGAATGCCGGAAGAATTCATAAATTGCTCGCAGCATCGTAAATCGGAAAGTGTTTAGCAATTTCCTAGTGTTTTCAAAGATAGAAGACTTTCTATGAGACCAGTGTGTGTTTTATTTTTTAATTTTAACGCTGGTCGTTCCTTTGTGAAATTGATTTAGTCAAATGTCTACAATTACCTACCATCGGCATCATTTGGTGACCAAAGGATTGAATTTGTTTTTATAGAGAAGTTTGGGTGTTTGTAAATGTTACTGCCAAGCGATGGGTCTTAGGTTTGATTCCTAGATGTAGGAAGTCGTAATGAGGGTATCTTCGAGGTATACAAAATTTCCAGGTTCTCTCCCCAGTAGGTACATGCGACCCTTAATATAAGATAACTGGTAAAAAGTTGGCGTTACATTGAATATGTTCAACTCTGTGTACTCCGTCGGGTATCAAAAGAGGTGACGGTTAAGTATGTATGTCAAAACCACTTCAAAAGTATTACATATGCTCTTATTAATAGCAGCAGGGCCTCCAGCAGTGAGTGCCCTAGAAGTATAAAATTATATTCGAGTACTTACTGATGAGATTTTTTCTCCGACTAACAGTAACTTCTGTCAAAATGAATCGCTTTCGTTTAACCATCGTCCGTACTCGATTTTGATAAACTTTTTATTTCAATATCACAGTCCGAAAGATTCTGGAATATTCTTGGCAAAGAATTCGCAAGTTTGACTTCCATACGATAACTCAGAGTATTTTGACTTTAGTTAAAGTAGCATAGGGAAATTATTCAGTACAATCATCAATCACCCAGTCTATCTGATACACTAAAGGATTTGAAGGGGGTAAAAAACACGGGCTGGTGGAAATTGGGTCTCTTGTAACGAAAAATTGGCAGAAAAAGAGGTGTAACGTTAATAGATCACAAGATTAAGTGAGATTTACGAATTTTCTTTATTGTAGAATAAATAAAATTATAAGTACCTAAAGGTAGACAGACCATGACCTGGATTAACACGCAAATATTTTTTTGCCCAGCTAATGTGATCAAAGACGGCTGCTATGGATATAATTGACTAACAGTTATCGATCATTAGGAATGAATAAATTAAACGTTTTTATAACCGGATAACCTGGACGTTGTGTTGAGAAATTTCGAGAAATATTTATGTTTATAAATTGTATGTCCATTCATGTTGTATGGAGGATAAGATAGCTTAACGCACCATACGTTTTTTTTGTGTTTCTAATTTCTTGTTGTGTGTCGTAGCAAAATAAATGCTTTTTCTTTCTTTCTTTCTTTGTTATACCATATACGTTTGAAGGAAAATGTTACATCTGTTAACTTACGTAGGATACATAATAATTTACGTTTTACTATGATTTTAACTGTTTGTTTTCACAAATCGTGTCTATTAGACCACTATCAGTCGGTTCAGGCAAACAAGTCGAATGTTGATTAGGCATTTAAAAGCAATTATATACGAAAGCAATTATGTCATTTCTACAAAGTATTGCACATTAGTCTGTTATCATTAGTCCATTAGTTATCACAATAACTAACAGATGTGAAAAGGAAATAAATAAATATAAGTAACACCCGCTCAAGGTTAGCGTCACACAACATGAACTTATTGCAAGTAGGTCATGACACGATCATTGAATCATTCAATAAGTATCTATTCACTCGGAGCGGAGAGCACACGACACACGACGCTTATTTATATTAAGTATTTACTGTCATATATATTCTAACACGATTTCTCTGAGAACGAATGAATGAACCCTCGGCGCATCGCCTCAACAACATGTAAATATTACGTAAATAGTCACCGAGTAACAATAGCTTCACATTATCATTTCATACATAATGCGAGTTTTTATCGTGCCGCGGGAGGGTCGACGAGCGAGGAATTTGTTTTTGTACAAGTTAATCGTATAGATAACGGTACTACATTATCGGCAGTAGCGCGACAGCGACTCGCCGACCGGTCGTGTTTCATTCTGCACTTAATATACGTTAAAATGCTCAAACTAGTCAGAGGGATACGGCGGTTGAACCAATGCCGGCACAATCACGCTACCGTCATTGGTTCCGAGCCGAACAGAACTGATCCTTTCTACCAAGAGAATAAGGGCAAAATGGACGAGCTTGTCGAAGAATTACGGCAGAAAACCGGTGACGCCATCAAAGGCGGCCCGGAGGAGGCCGTAAAGAGGCACACGGCAAGAGGAAAACTGCTCGTCAGGGACAGGATTAACCGGTTGGTGGACGAGGGAAGCGACGTTTTAGAACTGAGCACGCTAGCCGCCGCCGACATGTACAAAGGGCAAGTGCCGAGCGCCGGCATCGTCACCGCCATTGGCAAAGTTCACGGTCGTGACTGTATGATTGTGGCTAATGACGCTACTGTTAAAGGAGGTACTTATTTCCCTATGACAGTGAAGAAGCATCTGAGAGCTCAAGCGATCGCACAGGAGTGTCGTCTTCCGTGCATTTATCTCGTGGATTCCGGAGGTGCGCACTTACCTGATCAAGCCGATGTCTTCCCGGACAGAGAACATTTTGGAAGGATATTTTACAACCAAGCAAATATGTCTGCGGAAGGAATACCGCAGATCTCGGTAGTAATGGGCTCATGTACCGCTGGAGGCGCGTACATTCCTAGCATGTCTGATGAAAGTATTATAATTAAGAATCAAGGAACAATTTTCTTAGCTGGTCCACCATTGGTGAAGGCTGGTACAGGCGAAACAGTGTCTGCTGAAGAATTAGGAGGTGCTGATTTGCATTGTCGTCAATCCGGAGTTACCGACCACTATGCTTTGGATGATGAGCATGCCTTACATTTAGCTAGGAATACTATTGCCAATCTGAATTGGAATAACGAACAGAGAACTCGAATTCACACACCAACAGTTGACGAACCTGTCCATGACGTAAACGATCTTCATGGCATTGTCGGAGCCAACATTCAAAGACCATTTGACATGCGCGAAGTGGTCGCTAGGATAGTTGACGGAAGTAGATTCCATGAATTCAAACAACTTTATGGAGAAACATTGGTATGTGGTTTTGCATCCATTTATGGTCACCCTGTCGGAGTGATCGGTAATAATGGTGTCTTGTATTCAGAGGCAGCTTTGAAAGGATCTCATTTTATTCAACTTTGTGCGGCTAGGAAGATTCCTCTGCTATTCTTACAGAACATAACAGGTTTCATGATTGGTAAAGACGCTGAAGCCGGAGGTATTGCCAAAAATGGAGCTAAGATGGTGACAGCCGTCAGTTGTTTCAAAGGACCTAAGATCACAGTATTGGTCGGCGGCAGTTATGGTGCCGGAAACTACGGCATGTGTGGTCGTGCATACTCTCCCAGTTTCCTGTACATGTGGCCCAACGCAAGGATCTCAGTAATGGGTGGACCACAAGCGGCTACTGTACTGTCTTTGGTGGCTAAGGAGAAGGCTGAGAGGAGTGGAAAGCCTTGGACTGCGGAGGATGACAAAAAAGTAAGAGCGCCTTTGGAAGAAATGTTTGAAAGAGAAGGACGGCCATACTATAGTACTGCTAGACTGTGGGACGACGGTGTCATCGCTCCCAAGGACACAAGGAAAGTGATAGGACTTAGTTTGTCTGCAGCCTTGAACGCTCCATTTAGAGAGAGTAAATTCGGTGTGTTCAGAATGTGAAGTGATAAAGACTGTATGACATGACGAAACTTTGCGTTATCAGTAATTAGACGTAAGAACGATAACTCTGATTTTTATTATTACCGAGTTATACAAACTTTGTATTGCCGTTGATTACCTCATTATGTGTGTGATAATGTTCACCTTAACATTTTACAAACGGTAAATTTAAGTTTGTGTTAATCTCTGCATATCTTATCAGTGGTGATAGTGTTGCCAACGCTAAAATCGTTGAGTTGTTAATTGGGCAACAGAAAATATTCTTACTTAAATATTGATATTGCTTGTATGCCGTATGAAGATATATATCGGTGCTGTTATCATACACGCCTATTTTTTACGAACGAGTCGAGAGATAATGTTTGCTAATTTGAGCCTTGATTGAGGTCGACAGTTTTTTTGAGTAAATTTATTTTCAAAGCGATCCATATTGATCTGTTTTGTTCACTGGCTAGGAATTTAAATACAGTTTGTGGTCAGTTTTTATGTTAGAACGTCTGTGAATGAACATGTCCTGGCATTTCTCAAGGTCTAGCCGTCTTAGGAAGGTAAACAGGTTATCAAAACAGACTCGGAGTTGTATAATTCAAGAATTCTTCATTTAATATTGTCACAGATGTTTTTCCAATGGCATTTATAATGCGAATACTAAATACATGTCACAAGTATTTATTTTTATAATAAAGTTTTACTTTTATACTTATTTTAAAATTTGTTTTCAATGTTATATAAAAGCGTGAGATAAATTGTTTTTGCTTTTATTTTGTTGTTTTTGTCGTTATGAAAGGTTAATTTAGAGTGATGCAGTGTAATTATGTAGATATGTATGTGGCACTTATTTGATTGTCTGTCTATTTGATAGATACAGATTATAATACACTTTTTAATATCCCTTCTTCTGCTCACTAGGTCGATGGTAAGTTAATGTGCTAATTAATTGACTCTAGATAAATATTTTCACACCAAAAAACCCAAATTCTCAAAGACTTGTATAATATTTACTATGATGCTCAATCATAGTCACGTCTAATTGGACGGAACAATAGCAGTAATAATAAAACACATTACAGGGCTATTAACATGCAAATGTAATACAATGACCTGACCGCCATTAGCAAAGTTCAAGTTTAACAATAGGATATAATGCCACTCACTTTTAAATTTAGAATTTTTGGCAGGACTAGATGACAAGGCCGGCTGATCGATAAATATCTGTGCCTGTTTATTGCTTTATTTTTTCGAAATGGCGCGTAATTCTCGATCAGTCTTGTAGACTGTAGGACTAAATTGAAGTAGGAAATTCACAGTTGTGTTTTCACAATGCTATAATTTTGGCAAGAAATAAATGAGATCAAAACCATCATAAATATCCATTCAATAAAAATATGCCAGTAACTAGATTATTAAGAACAGTTTCAATAACATAAAGTGTTGTTATTATAAATGTAGACTACGATCACGAATCGCCTTGTTTTCTTCGTGTTACATTCACTATACCAAATTAACTTTACTGTATCCAATTTCACTATAAATCATAATAATAAACAATTGATTGGCAACAATATGTCCGCGCTTACGATCGAGGCTTGCCATTTTACGCTTTCCAGTCGCAACGGTCGCCGCGTGCGTGATTTTTTTCTAACTGGAATTCTTCACAAGAAAATCTATCCGGCGAAGCACCGGCTAGTCTATTAACAGAGTTAATTGCCTATCTATATGGCGAGTGCACGGCGCTGGCACCATTTTTAAATCATTTTTCTTCCACAAACAATTCAAATAACAGCGGGTAACTTTTGATTGCGTAACTGTACGCAATTAAGGCTGTTCATGTAAATACCTTTGCCATAAAATCAAGATTGGATTGTCGTTAAAATAAAAACAGATGTTATCATAGACTGGATATTTAAAAAGTTTGTTTAATATTTGATTAAAAATGATTATAAATAGATGTTTAATTTATTGTTATAGGTGATAAAAATCCGAGATTTGCCATTTGTTTGTAAATAGGTACCTATATTTAATTATTCATAATAGAATTGTGAAGAATTTACTAGAAACTGAGTCACTAAAGCAACGAGGTGTTTGGCAACAATCTTTAGGATGGTTGAACTCTTAAACAATGCGACATAAATTTTAATACTTGACGTGGTTGCGGAGTTCGCTGACAGGTGATGGAGAATACTTTGAACCGTGTTTCCAACGCCAGATACATTTTAAGGATGAGAAAATATGACAAACTCTCTTGCATTTTTATTGTTTGAACAATATCCGTATTTTTTTTTTTTAAGGGGGGAAAATCATCGAATGACTGCTCCCGCCTGGGTGAGGCGGGAGGGAGTGTCAGACTCTTATTGACTCAAAACCACCCCGTTCCTTCTCCTGCACGTCGAGCCGGAGCCCCGGTTACCCGTTAGGTTCTCCGCGACTCCGAAACAATATCCGTATAAAAGTATCTGAAATAATTATTGCAACGTGAAATTATGCATTACATAGGTTTTAAGTCCTAGTTTTGACACAACAGCAGTAAAATTAATGTTGGTCGTAAGTCAGTGCAGCTTTTATAGGGGGCGGGAAACTGCCATGTTACAGTGCACTACAACATACTAATTAAAATCAAAACAAAATAATTAACCCGAACTGTCTAACATAATAATTGGCATCAGTTTAATTCAGTCCGTTGTTCTGTCAGCATGTCAATCTTCATTTTATGTGCATTGTAAGTATTGTAATAGATTCACAAATTCCCTGAATATCTTCAGATCGATCCGATCGCGGTCAGTTTCAACCAGTTAACGAACTAAGCAGGATATTGCAAAACCATAACTGTGGGATGTATCTACACAAATACAGAAGTAACCTATTTGGTGTTTTTTATAAGGGGGGAAAATCATCGAATGACTTGTTCCGTCAGGGTGAGGCGGAGTGGGAGTGTCAGACTCTTACTGACTAAAAGCCACGCCGTTCCTTCTCCTGCACTTCGAGCCGGAGCCCCGGTTACCCGTTAGGTCTCCGCGACAACCTATTTGGTGTAGGAACAAAAAATAGAATAATAGGTATGTGTAGCAACTTGAACTAGAATTTCTAGATGTCAATCCTAATGACTCAATTTTATTAATTTAACCCGAGATCAAGCATCCTCGTGATCCTACTTAAGACCTCAAGAATGGAAGCTGTTTCCTTGAAACACGATATCTGTGTATAAATCGTATCTCATTGTGCCCGTGCGATACCGTTCTTGGGTTAATAGATTGATATTTATGTGAAAATTGCAATTGCACAATTGATTCAATGTTCCACTTCGCGAGGACGTTGTGTCCGATCCGGCTATGGCCATAAATAAACCAATTTGGTTTTATTACCGTTTCAATATAATATACTCGTCAATGTAAATTATTAAGAAGATTTAATTATCAAGTTTAGTACCCGATAAAGTTATTTAATGGTTTGCGATTGTGTTGTCTTGTGTCTCGGGTAAATTGTCCGGCACATATTTGTACCGCAACGGATTTAATTACATTAACAGATTTTTTTTTGCAAATTTTCCACCGGATTTATCCTAATCATATTGGAGCACCACAAATCATTGCGGTTTTATGCCAATGCCAATCAATCATAAAGTATTTATTAGTAAAAAATATTATTATCATTTAAATACCAATAAAACAATCAACTGTGCTCTAACTATTGCACAATAGGAAAAATGACGTGTTTACTTTCTTTGGCAAAGGTATTTCCCTGTTCAGCCACATGCTTGATCTGTTGCGTTCGGTTACACAATCGCCCGCCAATCAGGCGCGTTCTTAATTAACAACTTTCTATCTGCGAGTCAACGAACGAGGCTGTAGGTTGATTTGCAGTGTTCTAAAAAAATAAATAAAAATATATCTATTTCGATTGTCTATTGTATTTTTTTAATCTGTGTCTAATATTGGCGCATTTCGTTTTGCTGTTCGAAGTTTGAATGTTCTTTTTGCATTAAAATCTGAACCCACATCGATCTCTTGTTTAGTAAAATGAAGTTGAAATATGGTGCCTTTTTATTTTATTGATAGCCGGCTAACAGAAATATAGAACTTAATTAGCTTTGTCGTACTCTATGGGAAGACTGACTGACCTACATAAATACCGCGAATTATCTATAAGTGTCTACATAAAAACCTGTAATTTATTTTACATGATGTTGAATGTTTACGACGTGGACATAAATCTAAATCTCATTTTCTGGGCTTAATTTCTCTCGTTAGTTGTATCATAAACCTATGAAAGCCCTTGAAGTTTTCTCTATGCAGAAAGTAGCAATAAATATGGAAAAGTTTATATTATTCTTGTTACAATTTTTACTTTGAAAGACGCAAATTTTCGGCGGAAAGAAGGCGCGTGAATTGCGTGTGCTAAAACCGTATTAAATTATATCTTCCTCAGGAATACCACTCACTGGTGAAAATTATAAAAATCTCTCTAGTAGTTTATGACTAAGTATTTACCTTCAGACAAACGTTAAAAGGTACTTGTTTCTATACCAAAATGTAAAGCTTTGTAGCAAAAATTAATAAGAGAAAACTTAAAACTTCAGTCTACAAATACATCCGAAATACAGAATATGGTAATGTGTGTTGCATAAATAACAAGTTAATGTTACATTTGATTAATATAGTTAATTAAATGTAATTAATACGGTGACTAGCCAATCTTAGTGAGTCACGTTCTTAGGAAATAGTACAGATATCATCGCTGGTTTCATCTGAGTAATCTTTAGTGTGCTGGTAAAAATATTATCAGAAGGTTTACCTGTTTAGAAGGTACATTTTGGAGTTAAAACTATGCGAGCCCATTGATAAACTGCAATGCTTTTCTGTAACTGTCAATTCGAACTTCCCAAGTGAGCTCGATCGTAGTTTGAGCATTTATTTTATTTTATTTATTTATTTATAATACATGGTCGTCCCACTGCAGGGCAAACGCCACCCTACCCTTCTTCCACTCTTATCGCGGAGAACCTAACGGGTTACCGGGGCTCCAGCTCGAAGTGCAGGAGTAGGAATGGGGTGGTTTTTAGTCAGTAAGAGTCTGACACTCCCTCCTGCCCCACCCAGGCGGGAGCAGTCATTTGATGATTTACCCCCCTTAAAAATAAAAAAAAAATTCATTCTTCCACTCGTTTCTTCTTATAGCTTTCTGTGACCAATCCTTTTCATAGGCGTCCAGTTTATCCCTCGATCACCTTCTGGGCCTAGTTTGAGATTAAAATAGTCTCGACCATGTCATTACATGGCGGACTACAATCGAGTTCGGTTCGATCTTTCAAATTGACAGTTACAGAAGAGACTTGCTGATGTGTTAAATGCCTTTTGGTACTACAGTCTAGTCATCGATAAACACGGTTTTTATATTTCAAAGATGATAATGGACTGATTTCCTTGTGCGAGTACTCCAACCTAATTATTTATTTTCATGCAAATGGGAAGTAAAGCCTTAATTAAATGATAAATAGTAGAAAAGTGCTTGATGCATGATATTTTGTCAGTAATTATTAAAATAGAGCTAGTATTTGCAAGCTTAAAGTACAAATTAGTATAAAGCATTGGGTCTTAATACCAAGAATTCGTTGTTTAATTATTTATTTTTAGTTGTCCTTCTGTCATCTTTATTATGATACGAGCAAGTGTTTCCGCATTATAACTGTTCTATTGTTACATTGTGATT